CCCCCCCCAGGACTGGGGTGCCAACTAGGCAGAGGACATCAGAGCCCCATACAGAAGTATCTGTGCTGTGGAACTTCAGGGTGACCCTCCAACCTACAACAGATGGCCCCCACCACTGGAGATGAATGGTGGAGTGTGAGTCAGGGTTTAAAGTCAGGGTCCTGGAGAGGGGTCAGGGATCAGAGTTGGGGTCAAGGTCCTGGATAAGATTCAGGTTTCAAGGTTGAGGTCAGTGTAAAAGGTCATGGTAGGATCCAGGGTAGGGTTTAGGGAACAAAATTAAGGTCAATGTGGGGGCAGAATTATGGTCCTGGATAGAGTTTGGGAATCAGAGTAAGGGTCAGATGTTGGGGTCAGGGTCTTAGACAGGATCCAGGGATCAGATTTGGGGGTTAGGGTTGGGGTTCTGGATAGGACAGAATCAGGCAGCGAGATTTCCTTATGCTACTCATTACAGCACACAATTTAAAATTAATGAGTTATTTCTGGAATTTTCTATTTAATATTTTTGGACCATGGGTAACTAAAACAACAGATAAGGGGGGACTACGGTACTACCAAACTAGAATTCTATGCCTTTCAAAAATTAAAGACAGCCCGGCTGGCGTGGCTCAGCGTCTGAGCATCGACCTATGATCCAGGAGATTGTGGTTCGATTCCAGGTCAGGGCACATGCCCAGGTTGCGGGCTTGATCCAGGAGGCAGCCCTATCTCTCTTTCCCTCTCCCTTCCATGCTCTGAAATCAATAAAAATTAAAGACAAAGGACAGATGAAGTCAAAAGAAAATGAAAAGGGCTCAGGGATCAGAGTCACGGTCAGAGGTTAGGGTTGGAGTCCTGGATAGTATTTAGGGATCAGAGCTGGAGACAGATGTTTGGTGGGGTCCCGGATAGGGATCAGGGTAGAGTTTAGGGATCAGAGTTGGGTTTCTGTGTCGTGTTCAGTGATTGGAGTTTACTTCAGGGTCAGGGTTGGGATCAAGGTTGAGGTTCTGTGTGGGGTAGGGTCAGGGTCAGGCACACCTTGAGCGTGGCGCAGGCTGTGTAGTTGACGTTGGGCAGCACCTCCACTGGCTCCTTGAACATGACTCGGAAAGTGCTGGCGGAGCCGTCGCAGCTGAAGCCTGTGTCATTCTGTCCCAGCACCGTGTTGCTGTCTGTGTGGATGATCTGCAAAGGCAAGAGCCAGACTCTCACCACTCACCAGGGCCCTCCATCCCCCTGCCTCCACCCATGGGACCCCACAGTGGCAGAAGGGAGGGCTAGACTCCACCCTAGGCCTGGCAGCACAGGGTTCAGCCTATGACCCATAGGAAATCCATGGGGTTAGGGGCATAGTCCCCTCCAACTCCAGAACATTCCCTCCATATAGGGTGTGACATGCCACAGACCCTAGTAGGGGAGAGATGGGGGATCTGAGAGGGGTCCTGAGAAGGTTGGGGCACAATGGGAGGGGCAGGGGTAGGGGTGGGACAAGAGGCAGAGTCAAGGACATTAGAGGGACATGACCTTGGCAGGGCCCGGAGTGGGGTAGAATTGGGTGGGACCCGATCTAGGGTGGGGCCTGACCTGGGGATGGGACCTGTATCTGGAGGC